AGAAGAGAGGGGGAGATAGAAAAGGGCCCCCATAGTAGGAGAGGAGGGGGAAAGACAGGGGCCCCCATAGTAGAAGAGGGGGGTAGACGGGCCCCCATAGTAGGAGAGGGGAGGATATACCAGCGCACCCATAGTAGGAAAAGGGGGGAGGGATAGAGGCCCCCATAGTAGGAAAGGAGGGAGATAGACAGGGGCCCCCCCATAGTAAGGGGGGGGGAGAGTAGACTGGAGTCCCTATAGGAGAAAGGGGGGGAACAAGCAGGGGCCCTCATAGTAGAAGGAGGGGAGTAGACAGGAGTCCCCATAGTAGGAGAAAAAAAGGGGCCCCCATAAGAAGGGGGGGGAGTAGGCAGGAGTACCCATAGTAGAGAGAGGGGGAGACAGGCAGGGGCCCCCATAATAGGGGGGGAGTAGACAGGAGTACCCATAGTAGTAGAGGGGGGGGGGGAGACAGGGGCCCCCATAGTATAGAAGGGGGGGGGTAGACAGGGGGCCCCCATAGTAGAAGGGGGGGGGGGAGACAGGGTCCCCATAGTAGAGAGGGGGGGAGACAGGCAGGGGCCCCCATAGTAGAAGGGGGGGGAGTAGACAGGGGCCCCCATAGTAGAGGGGGGGGGGAGTAGGCAGGAGTCCCCATAGTAGGAGAGAGGGGGGAGACAGGCAGGGGCCCCCATAGTAGAAGGGGGGGGGGTAGACAGGAGTCCCATAGTAGGAGAGAGGGGGGACAGACAGGCAGGGGCCCCCATAGTAGAGGGGGGGAGTAGACAGGAGTCCCCCATAGTAGTAGGAGAGGGGGGGAGACAGGCAGGGGCCCCCATAGTAGAAGGGGGGGAGTAGACAGGGTCCCCATAGTAGAGGGGGGGGGAGTAGGCAGGGGCCCCCATAGTAGAGAGAGGGGGGGAGTAGACAGGGGCCCCCATAGTAGAGAGAGGGGGGGAGTAGACAGGGGCCCCCATAGTAGGAGGGGGGGGGGAGTAGACAGGTGCCCCCCATAGTAGAAGGGGGGGGAGTAGAGGTGCCCCCATAGTAGAGAGGGGGGGGAGTAGACAGGAGCCCCCATAGTAGAGAGGGGGGGAGTAGACAGGTGCCCCCATAGTAGAAGGGGGGGAGTAGACAGAGTCCCCATAGTAGGAGAGAGGGGGGGACAGGCAGGGGCCCCCATAGTAGGGGGGGGGGAGTAGACAGGTGCCCCCATAGTAGGAGAGGGGGGGGGGGACAGGCAGGGGCCATAGTAGTAGAAGGGGGGGGAGTAGACAGGGTCTCCATAGTAGAGAGGGGGGGGGGGAGACAGGCAGGGGCCCCCATAGTAGAGAAGGGGGGGGAGTAGACAGGAGTCCCCATATAGAGGAGAGAGGGGGGAGACAGGCAGGGGCCCCCATAGTAGAAGGGGGGGAGACACAGGTGCCCCCATAGTAGAAGGGGGGAGTAGACAGGGCCCCCATAGTAGAGAGGGGGGGGGACAGTAGACAGGGGCCCCCATAGTAGAAGGGGGGGGAGTAGACAGGGGCCCCCCCATAGTAGAAGGGGGGGAGACAGGACAGGGGGGCCCCCATAGTAGAAGGGGGGGAGTAGACAGGGGCCCCCATAGTAGAGGGGGGGGAGTAGACAGGGGCCCCCATAGTAGAGAGGGGGGAGACAGGCAGGGGCCCCCATAGTAGAAGGGGGGGAGTAGACAGGGGCCCCCATAGTAGAAGGGGGGGAGTAGACAGGGGCCCCCATAGTAGTAGAGAGGGGGGAGACAGGCAGGGGCCCCCATAGTAGAAGGGGGGGAGTAGACAGGGGCCCCCATAGTAGAAGGGGGGAGTAGACAGGGGCCCCCATAGTAGGAGAGGGGGGGGAAACAGGCAGGGGCCCCCATAGTAGAAGGGGGGAGTAGACAGGGGCCCCCATAGTAGAAGGGGGGGAGTAGACAGGGGCCCCCATAGTAGAAGGGGGGAGTAGACAGGGGCCCCCATAGACATTTGTAGCACAGAAACATCACCAGCTACCTGGACAGATCACACCGACCTCCATCACCTGACCCATCCATACACTACCTGCAGTCACCTGTACACACCTACAGGGAGGAGCTACACATCACCACTCCCACCTCTCTGATTGGCTTCTCCCAAACGCAGATCTCTAGAGGGGTCAGTGGTGGAATAATCTGCAGAATATACCAATATGGATCTGTTAGGAGGGGGATGGGAGGAGCGATGTTCTGCAGATCTGTATAGAGGTCAGTGATGGGATAATCTGCAGAATATATCAATATGGAACTGTCAGGAGGGGGGAGGGACGGCGATGTTCTGCAGATCTCTAAGGGGTCAGTGATGGGATAATCTGTAGAAATATATCAATATGGGTCTGTCAGGAGGGGGAGGGGAGGAAGCGATGTTCTGCAAAATATATCAATATGGATCTGTCGGGAGGGGATGGAGCGATGTTCTGCAGAATATATCAATATGGATCTGTCAGGAGGGGGATGGATGGAGCGATGTTCTGCAGAATATATCAATATGGATCTGTCAGGAGGGGGGGATGGAGGGAGCGATGTTCTGCAGAATATATCAATATGGATCTGTCAGGGGGAGGGGACATGTGACGTTACGTACAGGGTGTTGTGCACATGGTATGGGAAGTTCTCTCTGATTGGTTGTCTCTCCACCAGCTGCTGTTGTAGGAGATCTCGACCAACTCAGAACATGACAGAAGGTGTGGGGGCCCCAAATATTCCATGTAATAGGGATCAGGAGGTGTGGGGGTCCCGATCATTCCCTCTAATAGGGATCAGGAGGTGTGGGGGGATCATTCCCTCTAATAGGGATCAGGAGGTGTGGGGGTCCTGATCATTCCCTCTAATAGGGATCAGGAGGTGTGGGGGTCCCGATCATTCCCTCTAATAGGGATCAGGAGGTGTGAGGGTCCCAAATATTCCCTCTAATAGGGATCAGGAGGTGTGGGGGTCCCGATCATTCCCTCTAATAGGGATCAGGAGGTGTGGGGGTCCCAAATATTCCCTCTAATAGGGATCAGGAGGTGTGAGGGTCCCGATCATTCCCTCTAATGGGGATCAGGAGGTGTGGGGGTCCAAATATTTCCTCTAATAGGGATCAGGAGGTGTGAGGGTCCCAATCATTCCCTCTAATAGGGATCAGGAGGTGTGAGGGTCCCAAATATTCCCTCTAATGGGGATCAGGAGGTGTGGGGGTCCCGATCATTCCCTCTAATAGGGATCAGGAGGTGTGGGGGTCCCAAATATTTCCTCTAATAGGGATCAGGAGGTGTGAGGGTCCCAAATATTCCCTCTACTAGGGATCAGGAGGTGTGAGGGTCCCAAATATTCTCTCTAATAGGGATCAGGAGGTGTGAGGGTCCCGATCATTCCCTCTAATGGGGATCAGGAGGTGTGGGGGCCCAGAATATTCCATGTAATAGGGATCAGGGGGTCCCGATCATTCCATGTAATAGGGATCAGGGGGTGTGGGAGCCCCGATCATTCCATATAATAGGGATCAGGAGGTGTGGGGGCCCAGAATATTCCATGTAATAGGGATCAGGGGGTGTGGGGGTCCCGATCATTCCATATAATAGGGATCAGGAGGTGTGGGGGCCCAGAATATTCCATGTAATAGGGATCAGGGTGTGTGTGGGTCCCTAATATTCCATGTAATAGGGATCAGGAGGTGTGGGGGCCCAGAATATTCCATGTAATAGGGATCAGGGAGTGTAGCGGTCCCGATCATTCCATTTAATAGGGATCAAGAGGTGTGGGGGCCCCGATCATTCCCTCTAATAGGGATCAGGGGGGTGTGTGGGTCCCTAATATTCCATGTCATAGGGATCAGGAGGTGTGGGGGTCCCGATCACTCCCTCTAATAGGGATCAGGAGGTGTGGGGGTCCCGATCACTCCCTCTAATAGGGATCAGGAGGTGTGGGGGTCCCGATCACTCCCTCTAATAGGGATCAGGAGGTGTGGGGTCCCAAATATTCCCTCTAATAGGGATCAGGAGGTGTGGGGTCCCGAATATTCCATGTAATAGGGATCAGGGGGTGTGGGGGTCCCAATCATTCCATGTAATAGGGATCAGGGGGTGTGGGGGTCCCAATCATTCCATGTAATAGGGATCAGGGAGTGTGGAAGTCCCGATCATTCCATGTAATATGGATCAGGAGGTGCGGGGGTCCAGATCACTCCCTCTAATAGGGATCAGGAGGTGTGTGGGGTCCCGATCACTCCCTCTAATAGGGATCAGGAGGTGTGGGGGTCCCGATCACTCCCTCTAATAGGGATCAGGAGGTGTGGGGGTCCCGATCACTCCCTCTAATAGGGATCAGGAGGTGTGGGGGTCCCGATCACTCCCCTCTAATAGGGATCAGGTGTGGGGGGATCATCCCCTCTAATAGGGATCAGGAGGTGTGGGGTCCCAAATATTCCATGTAATAGGGATCAGGAGGTGTGTGGGTCCCGATCACTCCCTCTAATAGGGATCAGGAGGTGAGGGGGCCCAGAATATTCCATGTAATAGGGATCAGGGGGTGTAGCGGTCCCGATCATTTCATGTAATAGGGATCAGGAGGTGTGGGGGCCCCGATCATTCCCTCTAATAGGGATCAGGGGGTGTGTGGGTCCCAAATATTCCCTCTAATAAGGATCAGGGTTTGTGAGGGTCCGATCATTCCCTCCAATGGGGATCATGAGGTGTGAGAGTCCCGATCATTCCCTCTAATAGGGATCAGGGGGTGTGGAGGTCCCGATCAATCCCTCTAATAGGGATCAGGGGATCCCGATCATTCCCTCTAATAGGGATCAGGGGGTCCCGATCATTCCCTCTAATAGGGATCAGGGGGTCCCGATCATTCCCTCTAATAGGGATCAGGGGGTCCCGATCATTCCCTAATAGGGATCAGCGGGGGGTCCCGATCATTCCCTCTAATAGGGATCAGGGGGTCCCGATCATTCCCTCTAATAGGGATCAGGAGATGGGGGTGGTGCTGATCACATGACTTGGTGTCTCAGATGCAGGTGGTGCAGTACTCCTCCGACACTCTGCGTGGCGCTCTGATCTCCGGAGACCCCGGATTGCAGGATCTGTATGAGAGATTCTCACCTGAGGAGAGGAAGCTGCTGAATGAAGCCTTCAACCCCCACAGCGCCCTCTTCAGGCCGGTGACCGTCTGCTCCCCCTCTGATTGGATCCCATCGCACCCCGAGCCTGCGGAGACCTTCCAGGACTTCTATGGGAAGTGTGAGAGGCGGGTCCCCTCCCCCCACAGGAGGACCATCTATGTGCAGACCATAGGTGAGGATGGTCACGTGACCCCATCACCCCTCTAGGCCAGTGCTGGGCAACCTTCGGGCGTGGCGGGACTGTCATAGGAGCTGTAAAAGCCCCCAAGAGAGTCTCTCTGTCCATAGAACCTGCCGATTGTGACACGTCGGAGGAGATCAGGCTTTCCCAGGAGATTCCCACCTCATAAACGGAGCTCAGCGTAGGGGACAGGATCAGATCTCCTCGGTTAGAACCGTCTTCTCCCCAATGTCTCCTATCCCGGAATATGAGAGACTTACATAAAAACGAACATATCGTCAGATGGCCAATGAGCAGGCGAACGGTTTGAGGGGTCACTCGCCTTGTCTCAAAGGAAAGTAGATCTCGTGAACCGTGCAGTGTACACGTTCATAATTCATATCTAAGCAATCCTCAAACGTGTCTGCATCATAATCTACCCGCGGGTGGAATGTCACTGGTGCAGATGGACAGTTATGGGCCAAATATGAGTTATGGGAGATTTTGGCTCTAGTTGAGGTATCCACCCATAACTACACACCCTAAACGGGTTATTAGGCATCGAATTAAGAGGCACCCCCTGCTGGGGACTACACAATAGGCTCACAGACCGAATTGGAAAAGTTGAAGACATCTCCCATTTTAACATCAGTACCCCCTGGGGAGACCTGGGCCCTTTCGCTCTGAAACTTGGATCTGCTAACCCAGGACTTTGGCAAGTACCTGAACCCTTTCACCTCTCTCTGACATCTCTTTGCTGTGCTGTTGTCTCTGTATATTTATATATCTTAGTTACATCTTTTCTGTAAATATTTTTATTGCTCCTGTTTGACCTTTTAGTAATAAATCTTTCCTTCTGAAAGTGATGAACTGTTTCTATAGCTCTATTGCAATTTACTAATTCCTGCCTCTAAGGAGAACGCTACTGTGTTTGTTTAACCCTCTGTGTAACCGGCCTGCAGTGACCGTATTATACAGACGATTACCTCAACCATCATAGTGTTATAGCTGAACGCAGAGTTTCCTCTTTCTCTGTACAAAAAGGAGGTGGTGGCAGTGTGAAGGGTCAATTGCGGAATTACCCTGACCCAGTAACAATCGCTCAGGCTGCCGGTACATCGATTGTGGTGCATTAGCTGGAAAATCGTTGTGCAGATGCAGCTGGGCGTGGCATTGTTACGCACGTGACATCGCGGTTTTAGATTGGCTAGTCCTTCGGTCACGAGTTTGGTGAGAAGGTCTGGGGTCTGACACCACGATCGTGACAGGGACCACAAGTGGTTTGGAAGAAACTGAGAGTTCCGGTTCTATAAAATATCCACTTCTCGCCCTTCACACCCTCCACATCCTTCTCGCCCTTTACTCCCTTCACTCCCTCTATGCCCTTCATGGCCTTCACGCCCTTTGCACCCTGCACGCCCTTTGTCAGGAAAAGGAACATTTCTACAGGAAATGCTGGAAAGAATCGGGATAGTAAGAAGACACGGATCTGTCATGGTTGGTGACCCTTCCCAGAACACGTGAGGTGAGGGGACTATGGAGAGGTGGAAATGGATACGTCAGCCGAGGACAGATGGAGGAGACGTGTGGGGTGATAGTCACCCTAATAAAGGTCTCTCAGATCAAACCTAATCTCTGAACCTTCACACCCTAAATTAGCCCTCATTCCTGCACCTCCACACCTCACATCACCCCCAACTCCTGCACCTCCACACCTCACCCCCAACTCCTGCACCTCCACACCTCACATCACCCCCAACTCCTGCACCTCCACACCTCACCCCAACTCCTGCACCTCCACACCTCACATCACCCCCAACTCCTGCACCTCCACACCTCACCCCCAACTCCTGCACCTCCACACCTCACATCACCCCCAACTCCTGCACCTCCACACCTCACCCCCAACTCCTGCACCTCCACACCTCACCCCCAACTCCTGCACCTCCACACCTCACATCACCTCCAACTCCTGCACCTCCACACCTCACATCACCCCCAACTCCTGCACCTCCACACCTCACCCCCAACTCCTGCACCTCCACACCTCACATCACCCCCAACTCCTGCACCTTCAACCCTCACATCACCCCAATTCCTGCACCTCCACACCTCACATCACCCCAATTCCTGCACCTTCTAACCTCACATCACCCCCAACTCCTGCACCTTCAACCCTCACATCACTCCAATTCCTGCACCTCCACACCTCACATCACTCCAATTCCTGCACCTCCACACCTCACATCACCCCAATTCCTGCACCTCCACACCTCACCCCAATTCCTGCACCTTCACACCCCAGATCACACCAAACTCCTTCACCTTCACACCCAACTCCCGCACCTTCACACCGCAGATCCCACCCAACTCCCGCACCTTCACACCCAACACCTGCACCTTCACACCCCAGATCACACCCAACTCCCGCACCTTCACACCCCAGATCCCACCCATCTCCCGCACCTTCACACCCCAGATCCCACCCAACTCCCGCACCTTCACACCCAACTCCTGCACCTTCACAGCCCAGATCCCGCCCAACTCCAGCACCTTCACACCCAACTCCCGCACCTTCACACCCCAGATCCCACCCAACTCCCGCACCTTCACACCCCAGATCCCACCCAGCTCCCGCACCTTCACACCCAACTCCCGCACCTTCACACCCAACTCCCGCACCATCACACCCAACTCCCGCACCATCACACCCCAGATCCCACCCAACTCCCGCACCTTCACACCCAACTCCCGCACCATCACACCCAACACTCCCGCACCTTCACACCCCAGATCCCACCCAACTCCCGCACCTTCACACCCCAGATCCCACCCAACTCCCGCACCTTCACACCCCAGATCACACCCAACTCCCGCACCTTCACACCCCAGATCCCACCCAACTCCCGCACCTTCACACCCAACTCCCGCACCTTCTGGCACACATGGTCCAAGCCGTTTCCAGATAGAGGCTGCAGAAATGAGCACGGCCTGGACCATGCAGCAGAATTGGAGAATGGAGTCCCAGTTCCCGCAGCTCCATGGTAGTAGTTCCTTCCATGTGGTTGCCATGGTGAATGGTAGCGGTAGGAATCTGCTGACACCTGTGACCTGCTAGCCACAACCACCGAGCCCGTGGCTGCCTGCGGCCGTAGCCATTCGTGGTGATCAGTGCTGAAGAGTCACAAGGAGGTGCAGCCCCCAGCAAGCATAATTGTGATGTGCGGCCTCAGCAGATTCCTGCTTCTCTGTACACCATGCCTGGCTGTCATGCCGATCCTCGGACCACACTGGGATCACAGATATCAGGGCCTCCTGGGAATGAGGGTTGCCTGGCAGTCATACTGATCCTCTGACCACACTGGGATCACAGATATCAGGGCCTCCTGGGAATGCATGTCACCTGGCAGTCATGCCGATCCTCTGACCACACTGGGATCACAGATATCAGGGTCTCCTGGGAATGCGGGTCACCTGGCAGTCATGCCGATCCTCTGACCACACTGGGATCACAGATATCAGGGCCTCCTGGGAATGCGGGTCACCTGGCAGTCGTGCCAATCCTCTGAGATCACAGACACTAGGGCCTCCTGGGAATGCAGGTCACCTGGCAGTCATGCCAATCCTCTGAGATCACAGACACTAGGGCCTCCTGGGAATGCAGGTCACCTGGCAGTCATGCTGATCCTCTGACCACACTGGGATCACAGATATCAGGGCCTCCTGGGAATGCGGGTCACCTGGCAGTCGTGCCAATCCTCTGAGATCACAGACACTAGGGCCTCCTGGGAATGCAGGTCACCTGGCAGTCATGCTGATCCTCTGACCACACTGGGATCACAGATATCGGGGCCTCCTGGGAATGCAGGTCACCTGGCAGTCATGCTGATCCTCTGACCACACTGGGATCACAGATATCAGGGCCTCCTGGGAATGCAGGTCACCTGGCAGTCATGCTGATCCTCTGACCACACTGGGATCACAGATATCAGGGCCTCCTGGGAATGCAGGTCACCTGGCAGTCGTGCCAATCCTCTGAGATCACAGACACTAGGGCCTCCTGGGAATGCAGGTCACCTGGCAGTCATGCTGATCCTCCGACTTCAGTACTCTGTGAATCATGAGTCTTCTCTGTTGTGCAGGTCAGTTCGGGGACTCGGACCGGCACACGCAGGAATACATCGGCTGGCTGACGGGATATTGCCAGGCCTTCTTCCATGGCCTTCCAGTCCAGGTCCAGGGTCCCATCAGCATATCGCAGACTGGCTGCCGCTTCCGAGTCAATGACTCCACCCACAATCTGCAGATCCATGCTGGTAACATATGACGTCACACTGATCCCGACACTTAAAGGGCCAGTCCACCCAAAGCTATGCCTCTGTGTTCCCGGCTCCGCCCACTTACCACAACCCTGAAGAAGGGGGCTCACTTCCACCAATCACAAAGGTGTAACTGCAGCCAATCATGGAGTTCTAAGGAAGGGAAGAAGATGGAAACATCAATGGCCCAGACTCCGCCCATAATGAAACCATCAGTTTTGTGTGGACTGATCCTTTAAGTCAATAGCTTCTCGTCTGACAGCAGCGCGCGCCGCGCACCGCACACGTACCACACGTGTTCACATTGTGTTCTCTTCCCAGGTGACCTGCTCCGGTACCTGAAGACCATCAAGCCGCCAGACGCATTCTGCATAGTCGGGGCCACCATGGTAGACCTGTACCCGCGGGACTCCTGGAACTTTGTCTTTGGGACGGCCTCACTCACAGAAGGTGGGGAGCACACTCCAAGTGTCCGTTCATTGATCTTAGATCTGCACTGAATTCAGGACGCTCCCACAAACACCACATCTGGCCACGCTGAACCGTTCTGTCCGCTAGATGGAGAAGACAACTTGTCATGTTCGATGGAAGCTGCCAGTGCTGACGTATTTAGGAAGGTGCAGGTTCCAGGGCTTGTCATCCCCATCCTTCATATAGTCAGGCACTGACCTGCAACAAGCACACATATAATGTGCACTTACCTCTGATGGTTACATATACTGTATTGCCAAAGTATTGTCCCCCCCGGCCCCCCCAATCATGTGATTCAGGTGTTCCAATCCCCCCCATATCATGTGATTCAGGTGTTCCAATCCCCCCCAATCATGTGATTCAGGTGTTCCAATCCCCCCAATCATGTGATTCAGGTGTTCCAATCCCCTCCATATCATGTGATTCAGGTGCTCCAATCCCCTCCATATCATGTGATTCAGGCGTTCCAATCCCCTCCATATCATGTGATTCAGGCGTTCCAATCCCCTCCATATCATGTGATTCAGGCGTTCCAATCCCCTCCCAATCATGTGACTCAGGTGTTCCAATCCCTTCCATATCATGTGATTCAGGTGTTCCAATCCCTTCCATATCATGTGATTCAGGTGTTCCAATCCCCTCCATATCATGTGATTCAGGTGTTCCAATCCCCTCCATATCATGTGATTCAGGTGTTCCAATCCCCTCCATATCATGTGACTCAGGTGTTCCAATCCCCTCCATATCATGTGACTCAGGTGTTCCAATCCCCTCCATATCATGTGATTCAGGTGTTCCAATCCCCTCCATATCATGTGATTCAGGTGTTCCAATCCCCTCCATATCATGTGATTCAGGTGTTCCAATCCCCTCCATATCATGTGATTCAGGTGTTCCAATCCCCTCCCATATCATGTGATTCAGGTGCTCCAATCCCTTCCATATCATGTGATTCAGGTGTTCCAATCCCGTCCATATCATGTGATTCAGGTGCTCCAATCCCCTCCATATCATGTGATTCAGGTGATCCAATCCCCTCCCAATCATGTGACTCTGGTGTTCCAATCCCCTTCCAATCATGTGACTCAGGTGTTCCAATCCCCTTCCAGTCAAGTGATTCAGGTGTTCCAATCCCCTCCATATCATGTGATTCAGGTGTTCCAATCCCCTCCATGGCCACAGGTGTATACAATCAAGCCCCTAGGCATGCAGACGGCTTCTACAAACATTGGTGAAAGAATGGGTCGCTCTCAGGAGCTCAGTGACTCCAAGCGTGGTCCCGTGATAGGTGGCCACCTGGGCAATAAGTCCATCCGTGACATTTCCTGGCTACTAAATATTCCACCAACTGTTAGTGGGATTATAACAAAGTGGAAGCAACTGGGAACAACAGCCACTCAGCCACCAAGTGGTAGGCCACGTCACATGACAGGGCGGGGTCAGCGCATGCTGAAGCGCACAGTGCGCAGAAGTCGCCAACTGTCTGCAGAGTCAATAGCTAAAGACCTCCAAACTTGGTGTGGCCTTCAGATGAGCCCAACAACAGTGCGTAGAGAGCTTCATGGAATGGGTTTCCATGGCCGAGCAGCTGCATCCAAGCCTTCCATCACCAAGTGCAATGCAAAGCGTCAGATGCCGTGGTGTAAAGCACGCCGCCACTGGACTCTAGAGCAGTGGAGGCGTGTTCTCTTGAGTGACCAATCACGCTTCTCTGTCTGGCAATCCGATGGACGTGTCTGGGTTTGGTGGTTGCCAGGAGAACGGTACTTGCCTGACTGCATTGTGCCAAGTGTAAAGTTTGGTGGAGGGGGGATTATGGTGTGGGGGTGTTTTTTCAGGGGTTGTGCTTGGCCCCCTAGTTCCTGTGAAGGGAACTCTTAAGGCGACATTTTGGACAATTTCATGCCCCCAACTTTGTGGGAGGAGTTTGGGGATGGCCCCTTCCTGTTCCAACATGACTGCCCACCAGTGCACAAAGCAAGGTCCATAAAGACATGGAGGAGCCAGTTTGGGGTGGAGGAACTTGACTGTCCTGCACAGAGTCCTGACCTCAACCCCATAGAACACCTTTGGGATGAATTAGAGCGGAGACTGTGAGCCAGGCCCCCTCCCCCGACATCAGTGCCTGACCTGACAAATGTGCTTCTGAAAGAATGGTCCAACCTTCCCATAGACACCCTCCTAAACCTTGTGGGGGGCCTTCCCAGAAGAGGTGAAGCTGTTATAGCTGCAAAGGGCTCAATATTGAACCCTACGGACTAAGACTGGGGGGCCATTAAAGGTCATGTGTGTGGGAAGGGCGGGGCCAACTCAATATTGAACCCTACGGGCTAAGACTGGGGGGCCATTAAAGGTCATGTGGTGGAAAGGGCAGGGCCAACTCAATATTGAACCCTACGGGCTAAGACTGGAGGCCATTAAAGGTCATGTGTGTGGAAAGGCTGGCGGCCCAATACTGGGGCAATATAGTGTACTTCCTCTAGGTCAGAGACTCTCCAGGAAGGATGGAGATGACAGTACTGGGGTTTCACAGGTTTGGATCTTCCTGCTGGATAGGAACATATGACTTTCCACTGCAACTGTTTTGCCTGCCTTGTTTATGGAAGGTGACGTGTTGTCCGTGGTTCCTCAGGGGTCGGAGTCTTCAGTTTTGCTCGGTATGATGAAGAGTTTTACCGCTCCGGCTACAAAGGGCGATTGAAGGGGAAGAGGCCGGCAAAGGGGGATTACTCCGTATTTAATGGATATTACACTCCGCCCATCACCAGCGCTCTCCTCCTCCGATCCTGCAAGGTAAGGTCCTCCATGATTGTACAGCGCTATGGCGCCTTGCGGAGTGATCATGTAGATTTGTTGCCAGGGGCGTATCTACCGCGTGCAAAACGAGGGGGGGGGAGGAGGGAGGGGAGGGAGGAGGGAGGGGAGGGGGAGGGAAGGGAGGAGGAGGGGGGGGAGGAGGGAAGGGAGGAGGAGGGGGGGGAGAGGAAGGGAGGAGGAGGGGGGGGGAGGAGGGAGGGGGGGGGGGGGGAGGGGGAGGAGGAGGAGGGGGGGGGGGGAAAGGGGGAGGGGAAAGGGGAAAGGGAGGGGGAAAGGGGAAAGGGGGAGGGGAGAGAGGGGAGGGGGAAAGGGGAAAGGGGGAGGGGGGAGAGGGAGGGGGAAAGGGGAAAGGGGGAGGGGAGAGGGAGGGGGAAGGGGAAAGGGGGAGAGGGAAGGGGGAGAATGAAGGGGGAGGGGGGGGGAAGGGGGAGAGGGAGGGGGGAAGGGGGAGGGGGGAAGGGGGAGAGGGAGGGGGGAAGGGGGAGGGGAGAGGGGGGAAGGGGGAGGGGAGAGGGAGGGGGAAGGGGGAGGGGGGAGAGGGGGGGAGGGGAGGGGAGGGGGGAGAGGGAGGGGAGGGGAGGAGGGGGGAGGGAGGGGAGAGGGAGGGGAGAGGGAGGGGAGGGGGAGAGGGAGGGGGAGAGGGAGGGGGGAAGGGGGAGGGGGGAGAGGGAGGGGGGAAGGGGGAGGGGAGAGAGAGAATCATACACACACACTCATTGAACTCTCTCATTGGGGGGGGGTACAATATGGGTGTTGCCTAGGGCAGCACGACACCTAAATACACGGCAGTTTGTCGCAGTGATCGCCTCTCCCGGTAATAATCTGTATTTTGTGTTTCAGACGCTGACACATGAGATTGGTCACATGTTCGGCCTCCTCCATTGCCAGTGGCTGCAGTGTGTGATGCAGGGATCCAATCACCTAGAAGAGTCGGATCGGAGGCCCCTGGACCTCTGCCCCATCTGTCTGCGCAAACTGCAATCGGCCATCGGCTTTACTATAGCGGAGAGATACAAGGTGCGGAGACCCGCCACATGGCACAGTATAGCGGGGGCTTCACTAGTGCTCTCCACCCCTCCACATGTGTACCTGGCTCTCCTTAGCTGCTTTGCTGAAAAACAAGTTACTTATTAAAAAGAAAAATAGTTTGAGCAAAACTAAAAATTGTCTGTCACAGCAGCAAACACACAGTAAAAATAATCCCTAAAAATGGTACAAATACAAAGATACTAAAATATGAAAATCCAACTTAGAAATGTACACACGTGATTGGATAAGCCAGGGGACTCCGCCCCGCCTCCTTCCTGATCACATGGCTTTGTAGGGGTCCTAAGAGAAAGTCCACCAGGAATGAAAATGCATCAACAATTCATGACATGAAACCCGCAAAGCCACTCTGATCAGTGTATGGGGGGCACAACACACGGGTCGTGCATGCTTTGTGGGCGGAGCCACGTGCTGCATTGACATTCTTCCTATCACCTGGAGCAGGAATCCCCCTGTAAGAGGGGGATGGGGGATGCTTCAGGCAACACCCCAAGTCTGGTATCAGAGGTGGACCAATCAGAGAGTCTGATAGCAATCAGCTGCTGCTCTGCTGTCATGGTGTCGGAGTTGTCATGGCTCCTCCCCCTCACAAGTGTTTATTATAAAGTAAACAATGTTTATAAACAGACAAAACATAAATCTAACAACAACAGACTCAGCCGGGGGAGTCCCCCTTGAAGTGATCCGAGAAGTCGGCCTACCTGCTGAGCACATGGAATCTCCGTCCTGCCGATCGTCCTCCACTCTTGGCTGCTGGAGGGGTCGATGTGGCTGCCAGTATTTTCCAGAAGTCTCAGAGGTGGTGGGGCAGCATGTTCCCAGGTTGCAGCACAGAATCATGGGAGGAGAGGCTGCAGCCCCACCCAGAAGCATCTGACTTGGATATTCACAGCTCAGACTGATGGCCATTACTCAGTCTGCAGGTGGCCCACGCTGTAATTGGTTTGATCGCAGCAGTTGTTCAGTAGGGGTGCTGATTCAACTGCCTTAAATACTCAAATGACAGGATCTTGTTTTCCCAGAGCCACCAATGAGGTTTGGGCAGCATTTCTCTGGGCGATTTGCAGCACCCGGAATCTTCTGCTGGGAGCGGCTAACTGCAGCCACTGAGCCCATTCACTGCAATGACAGGTCACCGCCGCCCGCAGCTACTCGCAGCTGCCCACACCCAGCAGCCAATCATTGGCCATGGAACAGAGGCGACTGCCGGCGACCTATCAGTGAGGGGCTCAGTGGCTGCAGATAGAAGATTCCTGGTGCTGCACCAAATCACCCGGGGGGGGGTAAAATCAGGAGGACTCTACACATTTGTATGGAAATCTGGGACAGCATAGAAGTCAATGTTAGAAGATTACAGCTTGTAGAGTGCATGCTTCTCGGACAAGCCCCTCCCCCGATATCTAACCCCTCTGTGTGCCTAGGCTCTGCTCCGCTGGATGGAAGATGATGGAAGGGAATCGGATTTGGAAGCTCGTGGGAAAAGGGAAATCGTAAAGCCGCTGGAGAGTTTCCAGGCGCACAGAGATTGGAGCAGAACATGTCTGGACTTCTTGCTCTAGAACCTGGAATGGTCAGCCATGGACATCTGCTCACTCCTACAGTCACACTCCAGACAAAACATGGAGCTGGGAAGGGTTAGCTCTGCTGTCAGGTTGTCATCTGAGGACCCTTCCAGGAGGTTCTCTCTCACTTCCTGTCCCTATGGAAATGTTGTCACCCAGACAGGAAGTGATGAATAAATTCCAGCAGGGACACAGCAATATGAAGCTGATAGGGGTTGTACCCTTCCCCTACAAAGTGTCTGTCTGGAGAGTTCCCCTCACTTCCTGTCCTGGTCAGACAGTGTCACCTATGACAGGAAGTCAGGGAAAGTCTCACCAATGGGGCTGCGGGAAGCATTGGAATCAGAAGTAGTGATTCTTCCTCATTCTGTAACATTCATAATAAATATAATAACAATGATAACTATTATGGCTAGAGGGTGACATATGGGCAGTGACACCACAGCAACCAATCACACTTCCCTCAGCTGAAGGCAGCCCAGGACAGGATGGGTTCTGATTGGCTTTCGGGGTTCCTCTCTTTATTGGGGTGTCTCACCCTTGGGATGGGATGTGATGGGAAATAAATAAATGGTGGCAGTGCTAGACGTTCTGTGTGTTGATTTATGGTGTGGTGCCCCCTCCATGTTGCGTCCGTTCTCATACCTGCTCATATTCCTCGCTATCCCCAGAGCCCCACCTAGTCTGGTGTCACTGGTGTACCATTCCACCACTAGTGAACCCAGCAAATCAGTCATCTACAAATGTTGACTTCTCATGTATAGTCCCACCTAGTCTGGTGTCACTGGTGTACCATTCCACCACTAGTGAACCCAGCAAATCAGTCATCTGCAAATGTTGACTTCTCATGTATAGCCCCACCTAGTCTGGTGTCACTGGTGTACCATTCCACCACTAGTAAACCCAGCAAATCAGTCATCTACAAATGTTGACTTCTCATGTATAGTCCCCACCTAGTCTGGTGTCACTGGTGTACCATTCCACACACTAGTGAAACCCAGCAAATCAGTCATCTACAAATGTTGACTTCTCATGTATAGCCCCCACCTAGTCTGGTGTCACTGGTGTACCATTCCACCACTAGTGAACCCAACAAATCAGTCATCTACAAATGTTGACTTCTCATGTATAGCCCCACCTAGTCTGGTGTCACTGGTGTACCATTCCACCACTAGTGAACCCAACAAATCAGTCATCTACAAATGTTGACTTCTCATGTATAGCCCCACCTCTTTAACCTCCCAAGCTCCCCTATTGGTTCCTCGGTCTGAGGGAATCCTCAGCAACCAATAGGGAGGCTTCTGGGGTGGAAGGAGACAGGATGCCCAGGACTTGAGAGCCTACATGGAAGTCTGGAGAACATTGCCCCATGGAAGGACAATGTCCTCAGCGGGACAACGACACCCATCATCCAGTTTAATTTTCAGGCACTCCTCTGTACTTATCAGTGAATGTTGTTGAGGCAGATTCACCACAGATGAAGCCTTTTTCATTTAGGGCCAAATTCACACTTCTAAACGCCATGAATGTATTTTTTGGCCAATGAACGGCATATATCGTGACCTGGCACCAGCAACCACAATGCCAAAATCCTGCTCACGCATCAAAGCATGGTAGAGCCCAATGAGGTGAATGGGCCTGGAGCTGGGGCCGAATGACAAAGAAGTCATCAGTTACATACAAAAGACATTTCTATCATCACTATAGGTGGGGTTCTCTACAGTAAAAGCAGTTACATTGTTGAAGGTTAAACCACACGAGGCAACAATGATACAATCGATAGCAGAATTTAATCATAAAATATATACTGTTCTGACACATAGGAGGATCCACAATAATGACTACTACAGGAGGGCTGGGGACTATATTAGTGTCATGTATTAATCCAACATCAACACCCTTTTGTTGGCTAAGAAAGGGATTTCACCCCCTGTCCCCTCCCGTAAAGTCAGCTTTGTCCCAGGGAAGGGGGGTGTAGGCTTCCTCTGTCAGAAGCTGCACTCTGTAGATTAGTCCAATCAGAGAAATGATCAGTCCATGAATCTCACCCATGTGGGGCACTGCTGCTCCTCACCACAGACGTAGATGGCGGCATGGAGGGGCTCGGTGAAGGTGGTGGTGAAGGTGTGGAGGTGTCTGATTGGGAGGTCCAGCTCATAAAAGGAGAGTCGCCCCTCCTCGTAATCCAGATATATTCCCAGTCTCTTACAGGTAAGACTGACAGGTAAAGCAGCGTTTTCTCTGTTATGCTTTGCTGAGTGGAAGACGACGTCATTATTGTCACAGATCTGGCACACACACCAGGATCGGTCATTACTCCCAATGACAGACATGTCTCCTCCGCGCTCTATACTGGGGTAACACACCCCAACTCTCCAGTTTCCCAAGCTGCTGGTCTCCACCTGCCAGTAATATCGTCCCAAGGGAAAGACTGTGCTGCTTAAAACCTGGAATGACTCAAACCGCTGAGGTGTCACTGGACGGTTCTGACTTAACACCGACCAAGATGCAGCTTTCAAGTCGTCTGAGATACAGACAGTATCGGCTGCTGTGTTCATATCCAGCTGGACCCTGGTCAGTGATGGAGTCCTTATTTCTGGACTTACAGCCGTTATCATATGAAATAAACCTTTATGTATGATCTCCATGAGAGACTCTTCATCTACATCTCCAGCCTCATCTTCTAGGTCCTCCTTAGTGTTGGCTGCCTTGTCGATGTCCCGGAAATCATCATCTTCTAGGACATACGAAGGGTCATGCAAGGCACAGATCTTCCTGGACAGGTCTGCTGTCTCCATCTCCAGCTTCTGAATCAGATCAGAGACTGACTGTGAAACCACCACCTCCTGTCTGGAGGTCTCTTTTAGGACTTTGTTCTGGAGTTGTTTCAGTTTTTTCCGGAGTTTTCTGAACAGGACATTGACCCCATCTGTCACCCCCTCAGCTTTCCTCCTCACCTTCTCCCGGTGCTCCCATAGGCTCAGCACTCGTTTTTCAGTCTCTTCTTTCTTTATGGACAGTTTCTTTAAAAAGAGTTCTGTCATCACCTCACCAGACCCTTTGTGGGTGAAGGCATTCTGGTTATGGGGGGAAGTAGCTGGATCACGTAAGATGTGTTTTGGAGATACTCTGTGGACTAGAAGGTGGTGAGCACACAGAGAAGCTTCACAACGTAGGCAGTATTTCACAGCCAGGATGGAGGTGTGCATACAATATGTACAGAAGACCCCAGATCCCTCTGTTTCTGATGGTGAAGAGTTGGGGTTTTCTTCTGTTGGTGAAGAGTAGGGGTTTTCTTCTGTTGGTGAAGAGTTGGGGTTTTCTTCTGTTGGTGAAGAGTAGGGGTTTTCTTCTGTTGGTGAAGAGTAGGGGTTTTCTTCTGTTGGTGAAGAGTAGGGGTTTTCTTCTGTTGGTGAAGAGTAGGGGTTTTCTTCTGATGGTGAAGAGTCGGGGTTTTCTTCTGATGGTGAAGAGTCAGGGTTTTCTTCTGATGGTGAAGAGTCGGGGTTTGCTTCTGATGGTGAAGAGTAGGGGTATTCTTCTGATGGTGAAGAGTAGGGGTTTGCTTTTGATGGTGAAGAGTCAGGGTTTTCTTCTGATGGTGAAGAGTCGGGGTTTGCTTCTGATGGCGAAGAGTCGGGGTTTGCTTCTGATGGCGAAGAGTCGGGGGTTTGCTTCTGATGGTGAAGAGTCGGGGTTTGCTTCTGATGGTGAAGAGTCAGGGTTTGCTTCTGATGGTGAAGAGTCGGGGTTTGCTTCTGATGGTGAAGAGTCTGGGTTTGCTTCTGATGGCGAAGAGCTGGGGTTCGGAAGCTCCTCTTTTTTCTGTTGTTCATGGACCCATTCTTGGCATTCTTCACAGGCCGAAATCCCGAACTCCTCTGGAGTGCTGAGCACTAGGGTAACACATTTTTGACAAAAGTTGTGTCCACATCTCAGAGTCACCTGCTCAGATTTCTCATCTTGGCAGACGGAGCAGCTCATCTCGACTTTCAGGAAAAGGAATGAAAATGAAGCTTCAAACCTGGAGAGTTGTGACTTAAGAGTGTTGGGGGGGGGGGTGTGTGTCTTTTCAAGGACAAGGTGTAGAATTTACTGGAACAGAACTCGTGAACTTTTGATCTTTTTGAATCCTACAATGCTAAAGGTAACAGGAAGAAAACCAGATCTGTTCCCTTGTAACAGCAATTAAAGTGATACTAAGAAGAGGGTTCAATTTACATCGTCTCGTCTATATGTGTATTGGATGATGAAGCTGGAACAGACCATCTACGTACCTTTCCTGTCATTGTGGCGGAGAGCAGAAATATTTTACTTTTGTGTTGTTTGTTGAAATCAACAAGTGTGTCCAGCAGTCAGCGTTCCTGTGCCCCGCAGGGGTAGGAGACGAGGCTGATCTGGGAGGTCCTGTGCCCCGCAGGGGTAGGAGACGAGGCTGATCTGGGAGGTCCTGTGCCCCGCAGGGGTAGGAGACGAGGCTGATCTGGGAGGTCCTGTGCCCCGCAGGGGTAGGAGACGAGGCTGATCTGGGAGGTCCTGTGCCCCGCAGGGGTAGGAGACGAGGCTGATCTAGGCATTCCTGTGCTCCGCAGGGGTAGGAGACGAGGCTGATCTGGGAGGTCCTGTGCCCCGCAGGGGTAGGGAGATGAGGCTGATCTGGGAGGTCCTGTGCCCCACAGGGGTAGGAGACGAGGCTGATCTAGGGATTCCTGTGCCCCGCAGGGGTGGGAGACAAGGCTGATCTAGCCGTTCCTGTGCCCCACAGGGGTAGGAGACGAGGCTGATCTGGGAGGTCCTGTGCCCCTGCAGGGGTGGGAGACGAGGATGATCTGGGAGATCCTGTGCCCCGCAGGGGTGGGAGATGAGGCTGATCTGGGAGGTCCTGTGCCCCACAGGGGTGGGAGACAAGGCTGATCTGGGAGGTCCTGTGCCCCACAGGGGTGGGGAGACAAGGCTGATCTAGGCATTCCTGTGCCCCGCAGGGGTAGGAGACGAGG